TGGTAAAAGGATCAATGCAACAAGAAGAGCTAATGATCCTAAATATATACACACCCAATACAGGAGCACCCAGATACATAAAGCAAGTTCTTAATGACATACAAAGAGACTCAGACTCCCACACAGTAATAGTGGGAGACTTTAACACTCCACTGTCACTATTAGATGGATTGATGAGACAGAAAATTAACAAGGATATCCAGGACTTGAACTCAAACCTGGACCAAGCAAATCTAATAGACATCTACAGAACTCTCCACCCCAAACCCACAAAATATACATTCTTCTCAGCACCACATCACACCTACTCTAAAAATGACCACATAATTAGAAGTAAATCACTCCTTAGCAAATGCAAAAGAATGGAAATCATAACAAACAGTCTCTCAGAATACAGTGCAATCAAGTTAGAACTCAGAATTCAGAAACTAACTCAGAACCACACAACTTCATGGAAACTGAACAACTGGCTCTTGAATTTTGACTGGATAAGAAATGAAATGAAGGGAGAAATAAATATGTTCTTCAAAACCAATGAGAATGAAGACAAAACATACCAGAATCTCTGAGACACATTTAAAGCAGTGTCTAGAGGAAAATTTATAGCAATAAATGCCCACATGAGAAACAGGGAAAGATCTAAAATTGAAAACCTATCAACAAAATTGAAAGAGCTGAAGGAGCAAGATTTAAATAACTCAAAAGCTAGCATAAGACAAGAAATAACCAAGATCAGAACAGTACTGAAGGAGATAGAGACAAAAAAATCCCTTCAAAAAATCAATAAATCCAGGAGCTGGTTTTTTGAAAAGATCAACCAAATAGACAGACTGCTAGCCAGATTAATAAAAAAGAAAAGACAGAAGAATTAAATAGATGCAATAAAAAATGATAAATGGGATGTCACCACTTTTTCCACAGAAATAAAAACTACCATCAGAGATTACTACAAACAACTGCATGCATATAAACCAGTAAACCTGGAAGAAATGGATAAATTCCTCTACACTTGCACCCTCACATGCCTAAACCAGGAAGAAGTTGAAACCCTGAAGAGATCAATAACAAGGTCTGAAGTTGAGGCAGCAATTAAGAGCCTACCAACCAAAAAAAGCCCAGGTCCAGATGGGTTCACAGCCGAATTCTACCAGACATACGTAGAGGAGCTGGTACCATTCTCTCTGAAACTATTCCAAACAATCCAAAAAGAGGGGCTCCTTCCCAAATCATTTTATGAGACCAATATCATCCTGGTACCAAAACCAGGCAGAGCCTCAACAAAAAAAAAAAAGAAAGAAAACTTCAGACCAATATCCACAATGAACATAGATGCAAAAATCTTCAAGAAAATACTGGCAAACCAATTGCAACAGCACATCGAGAAGTCTATCTATCACTATCCGGTAGGCTTCATCCTGGGGATGCAACACTGGTTCAACATAGGCAAGTCTATAAATGTAATCCACAACATAAACCAAACCAAAGACAAAAAAACACATGATTATCTCAATAGATGCAGAGAAGGCCTTTGACAAAATTCAACAGCCCTTTATGCTAAAAACTCTCAATAAACTAGGTATCGACAGAATGTATCCCAAAATAATAAAAGCTATTTATGCAAACCCACAGCCAATATCATACTGAATGGGCAAAAACTGGAAGCATTCCCTTTGAAATCCGGCACTAGACAAGGATGCCCTCTCTCACCACTCCCATTCAATATACTATTGGAAGTTCTAGCCAGAGCAAGCAGGCAAGAAAAAGAAATAAAGGTTATTCAATTACTAAAGGAGGAAGTCAAATTGTCTCTCTTTGCAAATGACATGATTGTATATTTAGAAGACCCCACCATCTCAACCCAAAATCTCCTTAAACTGATAAGCAGCTTCAACAGTCTCAGGATAGAAAATCAATGTGCAAAAATCACAAGCATTCCTATACATCAATAACAGACTTAGAGCCAAATCAAGAACAAATTGGCATTCACAATTGCTACAAAGGGAATAAAATACCTAGGAATACAACTAACAAAGGATTTAAAGGACCTCTTCAAGGATAACTACAAACCACTGCTCAAGGAAATAACATAGGACCCAAACAGATGGAAAAACATTTCATGTTCCTGGTTAGGAAGAATTAATATTGTGAAAATGGTCATACTGCCCAAAGTAATTTATAGCTTCAATGCTATCCCCATCAAGCTACCTATGACACTCTTCACAGAACTGAAAAAAATCACTTTAAACTTCGTATGGAACCAAAAGGGAGCCTGCATAGCCAAGACAATTCTAAGCAAAAAGAACAAAGCTGGAGGCATCACGCTACCTGACTTCAAATTATACTACAAGGCTACAATAATCAAAACAGCATGGTACTGATACCAAAACAGAGATCTAGAACAGAGGCCTTGGAGTCAATGACACATCTACAACTATCTGATCTTTGACCAAACCTGACAAAAACAATGGGGAAAGAATTCCTAGTTTAATGAGTGGTGTTGGGAAAACTGGCTAGCCATGTGCAGAAAGCAGAAACTGGACCCCTTCCTGACACCTTATACTAAAATAAACTCCAGATGAATTAAAGATTTAAACATAAGACCTAACACCATAAAAACCCTAGAAGAAAACCTAGGCAAAACCATTTAGGACATTCGCTTAGGCAAGGACTTCATTACTAAAACACCAAAAGCAATGGCAACAAAAGCCAAAATAGACTAATTGGATCTAATTAAACTGCAGAGCTTCTGTACAGCAAAAGAAACAATCAGTAGAGTGAACCAGTAACCAACAGAATGGGAAAAAATTTTTGCAATCTATCCATCTGACAAAGGGCTAATATCCAGAATCTACAAAGAACTAAAATAGGTTTACAAGAAACAAACAAACAAACCCATTCAAACGTGGGTGAAGGACGTAAACAGACACTTTTCAAAAGAGACATATATGAGGCCAACAAACATATTAAAAAACTGCTTATCATCACTGGTCATTAGAGAAATGCAAATCAAAGTCACATTGAGATGGCATCTCACTCCAGTTAGAATGGTGATCATTAAAAAATCTGGAGACAACAGAAGCGGGAGAGGATGTGGAGAAATAGGAACATTTTTACACAGTTCATTGGAGTGTAAATTAGTTGAACTATCATAGAAGACAGTGTGGCGATTCCTCTAGGACCTAAAGACAGAAATTCCATTTGACCGATCAATCCCATCACTGGGCATATAGCCAAAGGATTATAAATCCTTCTATTATAAAGACACATGCACATGTATGTTCACTGTGGTACTGTTTACAATGGCAAAGACCTGGAACCAACCCAAATGCCCATTGATGATAGATGGACAAGGAAAATGTGGCACATATACACCGTGGAATACTATGCAGCCACAAAAAACAATGACTTCATGTCCTTTGCAGGGACATGGATGAATCTGGAAACCATCATTCTCAGCAAACTGACCCAAGAACAGAAAATCAAATACCTCATGTTCTCACTCATAGGTGTGTGTTGAATAATGAGAACACATGGACACAGGGAGGGGAGCATCACACACTGGGGTCTGTTGAGGGGAATAGGGGAGGGACAGAGGGGGTTAGGGTGGTTGGGGAGTGATAACACGGGGTGAAATGCCAGATACAGGTGATGGAGGGATGGAGCGAAGAAACCATCTTGCCATGTATGTACCCATGCAACAATCCTGCATGTTCTGCACGTGTACCCCAGAACCTAAAGAGCAATTATATATACATATATATATGAACATAAGAAGTTTAATAAATGTTATCATATGCAAAAAAATTTTACTGTTCATAAGAATGGCATGAGTCAAGTTGCTCTTTCTTGAGTTTATTTTTCTTTTCATCTAGCTTGTTTTTATTTCCCCCACCTAATCTCCTTGTAAAACCAAAGTTTCACAATGTAGATCCTAATGTTGAAAGAAGACATATGGGACCGAAAAGCCAGACTCTCTGGATGTTTAATACAATCATTTATACTCTCGATAAAATATTTTAGAATTATGCTAGAAAAATATATTTTCAAGAGCTTCAGCTTAAAAAAAATCAACCTAAATGGAAAGTAAGAAGAGCACTCTCAGGGAGAGTAGAAAGGAGGGAAGAGGCAGAGTTACTTGTAGTAGTTGAAATGGAACACCTCAATCATAAAAATATCAATGTGAACTTTACTTAGTCACTGTCCTTTTAATCACATTTTCTGGGGGGATTCATCTTAGAAGATTTCTTGTTAGATTCTGAAGATGTCTGGAATGCTGATTCCCAACTGGAGGAAATTTTTTCTTGTTTCAACTGGAAGTGGGGTGCTACTGGCACCTAAGGGGGAGAGGCCAGGGATGCTATTGAACATCTTATAATGTGGAGGATAGCTCCTTTACAATGATGATCTGGCTTCAAATATCAATAGTGTTGATGCTGAAAAGCTCTGGTCTAGAATGTGTCCATTGACCATAACACAGCTTTAGAGGGTAAATATGATTGTTTTAAGTCTCCGTGTTGCTGATATACTAACATAGGGCTTAGTGAAAATTGTGCAGGATGTCTTAAATCTTTGCTTTAAATTCCCATGGTCCTCAAATATTCCTTAATACTTCTTCTATGTTTTAATAATTACCTTCTGTTTTCCTGTAACTGTTCTATTTTTAAGTCTTCCAATTGCCAAGTGAACTTGGAGCAGAAGACTCTTTGGGAACCACTGACCTGGGTGGAGGAGAAACCGCCCTGAGAATTCTGCTGCTTCATGATCCACTTCACAATGTTCGTTGCGGTGGTCAGGTCCCGTGACGTGGGGGCTGGCTGGGCCGTGAGGTGAGCGAGGAGCACATAGGACGTCATCTCCACCTCAGCAGAGGGAGCCTGGGGTTGGTAAAAATGCCCCACTGGTGCCCTGGGTTTTTGAGGGCGCTCCCAATGGATGAGGTTGTCTTAAGGGTGAGAAAAAGGAGATAACTGTAACCAGTAAATAAGCAATTGCAACTGGTAAATAAGAGAATGCACATTCATAATACATGGAAATAATACAGGAGAAGCAAGGTCTTCTCTGTTATAGAATCCACTAAAACTCCTAAAACCCACTGACATACTTCTATGTCAAACTTGATTTAGTTCTGTTGGGATGAAGGTAGGGTAGGTTGAAGGAGGAAGAAGCATAGAGCAGACACATTAATCTCTCAAATGTTATTTTAGTTGGACTGATAGAAGAGAAAAGTGGTAGAGAGAGTTCTTTTATTGTTTGTTATATTTCCTGAGAAATGCAGTATAGACTAGAGGATAAAACCTAACCATTGATCTCAGATGACTTTTGTGAGCCTCTCTCTCTGGCAAATAGAGATAAAAATACTTTGAAAATGTTATTGCATTTTCTTTCTTCTCTTGCATCTATTTTCTTTCTTTTTTTTCTCCAATCGAATCAGTCCCTTTTCATTCTTTTGGTCATCTCTGCCAGAGTTAACTACTTCTATTGTAAGTGATAAAATATTTAAGGCTCCACTTCAAATATTGGCACTGCCATAAGCATGTTCTTTCCTGTTAATTCAACTCAGAATTAAAACTTTTGATTCTTGACTTTTTGTGCTCCAGTCTCAGACATAGTTTCTGCTGTAGAAATGATCTCTTGACCGTCATAATGTTTCTAGTAGTGGTCTACAACCAGACTCCAGTTTCTCCAGGAACACCACAAAATGGATTGAGTTTAAATATATACTAAACTAAAAGACGCTCTTTCAAATGAGTTGGAATGCATTTTATTTTTAGACAACGTATACGACATTTTTTCTTTAAAAACAATGCCTCCACTCCGAATAAATCGTGGTCAAAATAAATGAAGATCTGAAGATGACATCAGTCCCACTTGTCTAAATCCTGGTGCTGTGTGGATATCAAGCAGAATACAGTTACGAATGATAGGTGATACATCCAAAGTAGTTGCCAAATTTGTTAGCACTTTTCCATTTTTAAACCATGGAAAATCATCTATGGAGTCATACCACCCTCACGGTAGTCCAGCAGAGGCGCCATGCTATGTGGGTTCATGTTTTCACTGACAAAGAACTGGTAGTTTTTATCACTTCTCAGCCTTTTGACTTAAGATCAAGTGAAGAACTGGTAGTTTTTGAGATGAGCAAAAAGTGCACTTGATTTGTTCTGTAGCTTCTGTCATAAAAGGTTTTACTCTTTCTGGTCTCTGTTCAAGTTTGCCTTTGACTTTATGTCAGCTTTGATGTACTTCTTGTAGGCTTGTTCTGTGAAGTTGGTTCCTGCAAGTGATTGTTCATGACAATATCAACACCAGTGATTACTCTGCTTCCAGTATCTTTGCCGTACGAAACATTAGTGGAGGCATTTCCACCAATAAGCGAGTCACCAATGTCACCCTCTGTCCTACTGACCATCTTCCCCTCCACCTCCAGGCAGCCCTTCCTCCATCTCTGGATCTTGTAAATGTCAGAACATTCCAGTGTTACTGATGAGATCCTGGTAGATCATTATGACGATAGCTGAAAAGGACTACAGCACTGCTAGCTTATCAGGAGCGTGGAGCATGAAGGGAGCATGGTGCAGCCAGGATGGTGTTGGGTAGGGAGTTGCAGGGGAGTGTGGAAGAGATGTACCTCTTTTCATTCAAGTAAGTCGGCAGAAATCATGAGAAAATGGATATATTTGTCTATTATATTTGTTTTAGCAAGTAGAAATAAAATTCTGCAATTTATCTGCAGTATTATAATTATATTCTATTCTGTATAACCTATGCAGTCCTAGAGAAGATAGATTTGTAAGAGGTGTTCTGATCTCATAATGTATGACTTGGCTAAAGAATTACAGATGAAGCTTGTAATATTTCAGCAGAAATATATTTCTCCCCCTTTTGTAGAATCAGTGTAAGTTAAGAGGGAAATTTAGTACCATTTGCTGTTTCCTCTCACCTTATTTTTGCACACTTTTTTAACTTTTACTTTTTATTTATTTCTTTTTAAAATTTTATTTTATTTTATTTTAAATTCTGGGATACATGTGCAGGACGTGCAGGTTTGTTACATAGTAAATGTGTGCCATGGGGGTTTTCTGCATCTATCAACCCATCACCTAGTTATTAGGCCCCACATGCATTAGCTATTTATCTGATGCTCTCCCTCCCCACATTTCCCTGACAGGCCCCAGTGTGTGTTGTTCCCCTCTCTGTGTCTATGTGTTCTCATTGTTCAGCTCCCACTTATAAGTGCTCTCACCTTCTTTCACAGCTTCTGCATCAAGTGAGTTCAGTATTTCTCTAAGCCGATTTTGGTTTCCCACTAGGGAAAAAGCATAGGCCAGCAATGCCTTGGTGTAGACCTGGCTCCCATGGGTCCCCTCCTTTGCTACATTCCAGGCTGACTCCAGGCAGAACACGGCATTGCGAACAATAGGGTGCTGTAAAGGCAAAAAGATGGTTGTGTCAAACCAGGGTGAATAGAGGCCAGAGCAACCAAGAGCTGGATATTGACAGTCAGATGTTAATGGATTTCAGACAGATAGGCAGACAGCTAGATATTCATTAAATTTAAATAGAAAAGTATTTTCAATCACTTCGCTTTATAGTTCAATCCCAAAGAATAAGACTACAGAACCTGTTTTTAGGATTAGTTCTGATACATAGTCTAAGGGGATTACTGGCCAAGTGTAAATCCCTCTTAATGCATCAACCAAAGAGCTTATCAGTCTGAGAAGTGCCTTATCATTGAACCAAAGGAGACTTGAGACTCAGCCCTTAACAGGGTGGCATTCCAGAAAAAAGGTCTAAAGTTTTCGTGGTAGGGAATGGGATTGAGCTGGTACCTACAGTGACTGGGAGAGGAATCTCCAGAAGGGCAATAGTAACATAGGCGGAGAGGGTCACTTCATCCTCTACTCCTCCCTGTGAATACAACATTGATTTGATTAATTCCAATGCCAAGTGTTAGTATATTCTCTTCTGTTGTTTGATGGAAACAAATTTTCAGTATTTGTTTCTATCAGGTAAGGTAACACCCCCATTCAAAGTATACAATTTCTCCCCCTCCTTCTCTCTCTCTTTTTCTTTTATATATATATTTTTGAGACAGGGTCTTGCTGTGTAGCACAGGCTGGAGTGTAGTGGCACTATCACACCTCATGGCAGACTCAAGCAATTCTCTTGCCTCAAGCTTCTCAAGTAGCTACAACTACAGGCACACGCTACCATGCCTAGCTAATTTTGTAATTTTTTTTTTTTTGTAGAGACTGGGTGTTGCTATGTTGCCCAGGTTAGTCTTGAACTCCTGGGCTCAAGTGATCCATCTGCTTTGGCCTCCCAAAATGTTGTGATTCTAGGTGTGAGCCACTGCATCTGGCCCAATTTCTTCCTTCTCTATAGAAAATTTAATACTCTTTCCCTGATGCCATCCCACATCATCCAGGACTTCATCTTTGCAATTTCCTGTGCCTCCTTCCTCCCCTCACCCTTGGGAGATGTTACATTGATGTGTCATAGGCTCAGAAGTTCATGGAACAGTTCACCTTTATGGCATTGTTGAACAGTGACCCAGAGCTCCTGAAACAGCCATTGTCCTTCTGCATCTGGGAAAGCCACGTGAGAGACTGGGTGATGTGAACTTCATCAATGAAGATGTAGGCTCGAGCCTGGGAAAAAGTCTTCAGTACAAAAGCCGTGAGCCTTAGGGGGAGGAAAAACACAGTGCTGAGGCTCATTCTCATTCAGCATCTTACTGCTCTGTTTTGCACATCTACTCTCCCATCGCAGTGTGCCCCCAAGAAAGTCAATCAGCTATTACTGAGAGTTTGGAGACTTTTTTTTTCTTTTTGCTGCCACATGTTGTTCAATCCATTACCAACTTGTCCTTTCTTCCTAAGGCATTTCTATGCCACTTTAGAGATTCGGGTTCCTTCTAGTTTTTTTGGTTGTTAACTAAGACATTTGCTTTTATATTTTAGGCTTTATGCATTTATTCCTTTTCATAGATGTCTGAACTTACTTTCTGTAGTTTTAACCCTACTCTAATGAGCTGACTTCTAATGTCCAGCTTTAGTAACTATTTCCCTCCATTATCCTGCCCCTCCACTTTTCTTTCCTGTGTTTGCCTGTGTGGTAGGACTACACACACACACACACACACACACACACACACACACACACAAACACACACACAGAGATAGAGATAGAGAGAGAGAGAGAGGATATCATCTAGTAGAGGTAGTAACGTATGCTCTGTCAGTGATGGTTGTAGTTTTTCTAGTATTTTTCTGACACCTCTTAGTGCTGAACAACAATTTAAAGGGGCAAGTTCCAAACATAATATTCCTGTAGCAACATGAGAAGGAAGAGAGTCTGGGTACATTGGATTAAAAAAAGTCAACCTCAAAGTAATTTTGCTACTTCTTAGATGTTTGCTCCTGACACATTTATTTATCCACACTGAGTATTAGTTTTCTCCTCTGTAAAATGAAGCTAATATCTCTCACTTTTCTGGGTAGCTATAGCAATCAAATAGGGTTTTATTATGGTTTAGAAATGGTTTGTCCACCAAAACTCATGTTAAAACTTAATCCCCAATGTGGTAGCATTGAGAGGTGGAGCCATTAAGAGGTGACTGGATCATGAGAGTTCTGCCCTCATGAATGGAATCCATTCCTAGACAAAACAGCTATCATGAGAATGGGACTGGTGGCTTCATAAGAAGAGGAGGAGATGCTAACCCAGTCTCTACAAAGTAAAGTAAAGAAAATAAAAGAAGAGGAGGGACCTGAGTGAGCACATTCAATCCTCTTGCCATGTGATGCCCTGCATCATCTTGGGACTCTTCAGAGTCCACACCAGAAAGAAGACTCTCAACTAGATGCAGACCCTTGACTTTGGACTTAGCTTTCATAGCTGTGAGAAAGAAATTTCTTTTCCATATAAACTACCTAGTTTCAGGTATTCCATTATAAGCAACAGAAAATGGACAAAGACAGCTGATCTATGTGCATGTTTTGAACTCATTGTTGAAACTCAGAATAGATTTTCTTTCTTACCAAGTGTTGCCCTGGGTCCAGCCATATTTTTCCCCAAAGGTGCTGTAGGAACCATCTTGGTGTTTGTAGTTCAGCTGTCTCTGGTAACCTGAAATGGAAGGCTTCAGATAGCTCATGAAGCATTATAGACAGGCCATCCATATGTGCAGGCTGATGCAACCAGGAGCCGTATACATTTTATGACCTCCTGTGATCTGACATAGTTTTGTGGATGTTATGGATATATCAAAGCATAACATCTTAGGAGAGTGTGGGAAGATTGCTGTTTTCATAAAAATTATCAGCATGGGTTAATGTTCGATAATATAACTTAAGCCTAATTAGGAAAAGTTTCGTTAGAATAACAAAATAAATTTTTCTCTGTCTCACTTACCACTGATGAGATAGCCAATGGCCTTGGCCTTGATCTCCTCTGTCAGTTGCTGGGTTTCATTCAGATAGCTTAAGACATAGATGTTAGGAGCAAATAGGACCATGTTCTGTTCTCCACAGCCATAGGGCATCTGGAGGAGATTTTGTATATTTTGCATAGCAGAACCTAGTATGTCACCTGGGGAATGTGAAAGATTGGATGTCAGCATAATTTCAGCTTGTAAGTAGCCAACATTATTTTTAAAAGTGGCTTTTATATTCAGAGTCACATGCTCTATCATTTAGATAAGAAAAGTTCTACACATAGAGTGTGACTTCCAGGGTCCTAGTAAGAATAACAGCTATCGAGAACTTGATAATTCAAATATGAACACATAGGTGAGATGCGCAGGGGCAACGCTTTTGGTCCAGGTTACTAAATCCAAGGTGACTCACCCAGAACTGAGAAAGAGGCTCTGGCAGATTCTTTGACCACATTTGGTGGGAGCTTCAAGGACAGCTGTTCAGACACCTCGGCACCTTTAGAAACAGACAGCACATGTTAAAGAAGGACATCTATGATTACAACATAATTTACTGATTATAATGTAGTGAGAGCCTCAGAGCCGCATTGCCTGAATACGATACTGGCCCTGCTTTGTGACCTTGGGTAAATTGTGATGATCTGATGAAAAAAATACATGTAAAATATTAGAACAGTATTTGTAACATATTAAATTTCAGTGAAAGTGAGCAATTACTATTATTGTGGTTATTTTATTATTATAGTTAGCAGTAATGCAAGGAATTACTGGATGCAAGGAATAAGAATTTGACCTAATGATGAAATTACCTTTAATAGTCTAATTTCTTTTGGTACTCTGTGACTTCCAGAGTCCTTCCTCTTCTAACTTAACTATGTTTTGCATTGCTGTGCTCAGTAGCTTTCTAAAAGAAGTCTAGGACCTGGTGGAGAACTGTCATTCTCTACTTTATTGAAGCAATATTAAGACTTATGCCCATAATAATACAAATTACTGGCTCTCTTACGCTATATAATATTTGAATGAATTTCCATGTTTATAAACAGATAATATGACCATATCTTAAATTAGCCCTTCTCAAATGATAAATACAGTGTTGTGCACACTCTAGATATAGAAATAATAACGTAGCAGTGCTGTATAAAAGCTACAACTGGTTCTTAATGATTTGATGAAGTCAAATGTAAGTTATTTTCTGACATGGACAACACACAATTTTTAGTGAGAAGGGTAGAAAATGCCTATGTTTCATCAGCAGCTGTTTTAGAGACTATCTGTTGGGGATCAAATTTATCATGACCCTGCTCTCTTTCATTGTTTTTGTTTTTGTTTTTTTTTTTGACAGAGTCTCACTCTTTCACCCAGGCTGGAGTGAAGTGGCACCATCTCAGCTCACTGCAACTTCTGCCTCAGGGGGTTCAAGGGATTCTCATGCCTTAGCCCCTGAAGTAGCTGTGACTACGGCGTCCACCACCATGCCTGGCTAATTTTTGTAATTTTAGTAGGGACAGAGTTTCACCATGACAGCCAGGCTGGTCTCAAACTCCCAACCTCAAGTGATCCTTCCACCCTAGCCTCCCAAAGTGCTGGGATTACAGCTGTGAGCCACCATGCCTGGCTAACCCTGTTCTATTTCTACCTCATCCTGGGCCACTTGAAGCTTCTGCAGCTGGGCTTGTCGGTGAGCAGCCACTGGGCTATTCAGGTCAAAGAGCTACATGTGAACCAAGAAAGCGCAGGTGTTAGTCCTTTCTGTACCCCCTGAGCCACATTAACTTGCTCTCTTGGCCTCAATGTCTTCATTTGTAAAACCTATCTAAAGAAATATTTAGTATTACGCTGCCTTTATTGGAACATTCTGACAACTGGGAGATAATATCTATAAATGTGCATTGTAACTTGAGGTTTATACCCTTCTGTGCCTTTGATCTCACTATGATTATGAGGAGGGACTCTTACCTGAGGCACAGGTCATGGAATTGAAAGTCTTTTCTTTCTCAATACCTTCAGCCTTGGATGAAAAGAAAGAGAAGGAGCAAAAAAATATAAACATCCGAGTGAGAAGAGAACCACCATAGATTCCTTTCTTTGATGGGTAGCGTTTTCATGAATGATGTTTAGCATCCTGCTTTTTATCTTTCCAACTTTTATTTTAAGCTCAAGGGGACGTGTGCAGTACATGCAGGTTTGGTACATAGGTAAACGTGTGCCATCGTGGTTTGTTGCACAGACCGTCTCGTCACCTAGGTTTTAAGCCCAGCACCCATTAGCTATTCTTCTTGATGATCTCCCTCCTCCCACTCCCACCCTCAGACAGACCCCAGTATGTGTTGCTCCCCTCCATGTGTCCACATGTTTGCATCATTCAGCTCCCACTTATAAGTGAGAACGTAACATTCTCTTGTTATACAAATCCATAAACATTGAAGAACCAGGGAGGTTGGTAGAGAGAAAATGAAAAGAGATAGTAAGTGCAGTGAATCAAAGGTAATAGGGATGAGAGATACATGAATCTTAGCAGAGAGGTGGAGATCAGGAAGTTGCACTCAAATAATTAGTGAAAAAATATTTACAATAGCTGGCAGTGTCTGCTGCAGGGCTTTTAGGATGGGAAATTCTATTAGTCTTACAGGATGTATTGTGTGAGCAAAATTTAATGGTCTCAAGAGTGACCACCCAGTGTTTTATCCTTACAGTTGTTAGGGACTCCCCAAAATATGTTACCTCCACCAACAAGGTTTTGATGACTGTGTCTTTTCTTTTAATCTCAGGGACTTCAGCAACCTCATTTCCACAGAGTTCTAGGGACTGCATTGCCTCTGCACTCACTGAGAAATTCACATTCCCTAAAACAAGGAATATTGAAAACATGAGTATCCATCTTGATAGTCCAATCACCTTTAAGGAGTACACTTTAAATTTACAATTGGCCAGAATAGAAAATAAAGCTAATAAAAGACCCAATGAGGTTAGTGTACACTGAGTAGCCAATACCCAGGAGTAGTGATTACGGGGACTAACCTGGGTGAGAATAGTGTGAGGAGGTCATTGTAGATAGAAATAGGAATAAAATTTAACTTTATAGAATCATATCCATGGCAAGTAAAGCAGAATATGATGAAAAAAAGTGCTCAGATAGCCACCATCCTTGTTGATTGATAGGCTCTTTGGGGTACTGTCACTCACCCAGAGTTTTAGGAGTCACTGTCCAAGACAAGGTTCGCCTCTCATTTCCACAGATACAATAGGATTCTTCTCCCTTTGTATTTTTGGAAGCTAGGAAGGCTGGAGAGGCTTTCAGCTGCACACTGACCTATCACCCCACATGAGGCAGAGACAGAAATGATCAGAATATGGGAAGACATGAAAATGTAGAATTGGGGCCAAGTGTGGGATGCTGCAGTAAATTGGGATTTGTAAGAAAATGTATGTCACATAGATTCATCCATGCTTTAAGAAGCATGGAAATGGCAGTGATACAAATCAAGGTTGGTTATGTATTAGGAGGATTTGGCATTTGCATTATGGTAGACTGGGGAAGTGTGCAGATGTGGCAGTGGTGCAGGAAGGGGAAAAGCAGTGCTTGTACATCGCCCTGCGGAGTACTATCTGCTGCTATGTAGATTTCCTTACTGTTTCTTCCTTCCTCCCTTCTCCTATTTCTTACAACATATATCACATGTCTACCCCATGGGAGGCATAGAACATTGGGAACGATAGATGAGAGGCTTCCAATCTTGAGGATACTCTGTTATAAGAAGGATGATCTATACACAACCACTACTACATAATTTACAAAGAGATAAATGCTATAAGATAAATTAAAATAATATATTGTGGAGATTTTGAGATGCAGGCTTAAAGAATGACACTCATGGAACTGAGAAAGCTGAGTTGTGTGTCAGCTTCAAGAATGTTCCTGGTATAAAACCTAATTGTGGCAAAGGATTCTGCAAGTGCTAAGAAATACAAAAGCAAGGTGTGGCTTAGAGAGCCATGGTTTAAGCACCCATAGCACATATATCACTGTAGCATCTCTCTGATCATGTCTTGCTTTACTTAGCACTAATTATTCACAGTGCTAACACATAATTCTTTGAATTATCGTTAGTCTCGGGAACAGAATCAGTAGGTGACTGATCAAAGGAATCTTTTGTTCTATCCACTCTGTCTGTTCACCCTCATTTTCCTTACCCGGATGCATTTGGGAAGGTAGTTTAGGACAGTGGCCTTGAGTGTGAAGACCTCTCCACGGATCACAGAGTAGGGCATTGTGAGCTCCACAAAGAAGGGCTGGAAGGCTCGGAGAGAGGCAGTGGGAGAGATACCAAGTCCAGCATCTTCGGACAGGCAGAAGGCCCCTGCCTTCCACTCAGTGATGGTGTCAGGGACTGTTACTCCTACCTCAGCCACACCTGATGAGCTGGGGAGGCGGGTAATTGAAGAATAGAAATAATAAGAATAGAAATGTGAGCCACTTTTCTCAAGTGAGAATCAATCTGCTTAAACTAATGTCAAGACCTGAATCCACTTAAGGGCATACAGGTGTTTGCATGTCTGTGAACACTAGATTATGTGCTGGGATCTGAGTCAGGAAAATAAAAGGCACTAAATGGTACCTCTCCCCCTTATCAACAAGTGGTCATATCCCACATGTCTGTACTTCGAATACAAATATTTGAATTGTGATTCATTTTGGTCTTTAACTTCCCCTGCTATTGCATAATCCCATAAATAAGCATTTTTAAGAATCATGACCAACAATTAGAACCTTGGATTAACGTAGCCTGATTTGTTTATGTGACTGCTCCACCCCTGGTAGTTCCAGAAGGCTCCCTGAATAACATTAAATAGTACATATAGAATTGGATATTTATAGCTCCCATGTCTACTATTTGACAGCATCAGGAATAATTATTTTAGAATTGCTCAGCACTGAGACAATTACATTAATAAGCTTATACAGTTACAGAATTTAACTTAGGTCTATCCTAAAAAGTAAGAGATTAAGATAATTATCCAGAACTTTTCAGAGAGATTATCTTAGAATTGAAAATGTTGGAGGAACTACATCCCCTCCTCTCCAGCTATGGAGGAAAGTCAATTCACTTACTCCACTGCCACCAACTCCCAGATCCAAGTCTCAGGAAAATAACTCCGCACTGTTTCAGGGACTGGCCCCGAATTTTGTTCATTACTTAAAGGTATTGCATTATATGCATCAAATTGAGGAGTATATGGCATCGCTGCCATTCCTGAAGCTAATGAAGAAAGAGAAAATTGTCCAGTTAGGGAAAAGCATGCATTAATTTCATGGTGCATGTGTGTGACTTTGGAGAACGAATTTTCAGGTTTTCTGCTCAGACTGTCCTAAAAATCTTGTAGAAGTTGTAGAACTTGGGAAATACTTTGCAATCCCTCATTCTCTGAACACAGAGGAGTCTTTGTCAGAGGTGGAAATTCTATGTATCCCAGACATAGCATAGTTTGATGTGAATGGAAGCTGGGAAAATAAGATCACTTGGAGACAGTTTTATGGGTTTTGCTGGGAAGAGCTGGTTTTGAAGTGGAGACAATATTGCTTCATTCTTAGAGAAACTGAGGATTTGTAAAATGCTCTTTAGGCATTGAGAGTGGTGGCAATACTGAAAATGGAATTACCAGTGGAGTGAACGGAATTTAATGATTTAAACTATGTGAACTGTATGGAAGTTTGCAAAAGGTTATTCTCTGGGTAATAAGATTAGGGCATTAAATTTTATTCTATTTATTTTTTGACATCTGAAATAAATAATTCAGATGTCAAAACAGATATTTCCATTAGGAATAGCTGTATGGTTGACACAAAGAAATCATTTACTAACTTGACAGGGCAGAGAGCTGTACATCTAGGCAATTTTGTCCATGTTGTGCCTGAAATCATGCTTAATAATTGAATTTGAGTTGAGATCTCCCTCCATGTACCCCATGTGATATTTCAGAAATACTTTGTGAAAGAATACTTATAAGAAAAAACATATTTCTGGCAATTTCACCATAATAGTTTTCACCACTGATAAAATCATCAGTAGTAATTTCTTAAGTGAATATTATACACCTTCTTGCCCCATATCCTTCCAAGTGGCAACGATTTCTATCTTTGACTCTGATTTCTCACTGATGTTCTGTCTTACACTGTCTTCACTGTTATCTTAAATATTGAAATATCTAAAAGGAGGATGCACCTAAATGAACTATTTTCCATTTTCTCCTGAATATGTCAAGAGCCTCCTCATGTTACTGCAGTTAACAAGCCATTGCATCCAGTGGAAGATGGCTATATCCTTCCTACTCTTCCTGTCAACTTGACTTTCCATGTGTCCTTTCACAGTCTCTGTATCTCAGTTTTATTCTTCTCATCCCAAAACTAATAAACTCCACAGTAAATGCCTTTAAATTGGTTTCCCAGGACAAAAATCTTGTTTTTCTTGCTTCTTTTTTATATTTGACTTCATGAAAATGTGTTGAACTCTGGATTAAGTCACTCATACTCTGCTTTGCTGCGGATCCCAAAGTACTTTCAATGAAATGTTCTGTTCATAACTTAAAAGGGCTGCTCAACCCAGCTTCATAATACTCTTCTGACCTTTAATACCTTCAAGCAAACAACAACAATTAAAACAAAAAAAACCCTGAAAATTTTATTTTAATTTAGAATCTAGTGTGATCGAGACACATATTAGATCACGTCACTCCTCTTCTGAAAAGCTCCTTATTTCAGTCATAGTATAAAAGTCAAGTCCTTACTATGACCTACAAGCCCCATATAATGCAGCCTCAAGTATTGCTCTGATCTCTCTCTAACTGCTCACATTTCATTCACTCTGTTTCAACCACACTGGTTTCCTTTGTCTGCCTAGAACAATTCAGGCATGCTCTCACCTCAAAGCCTTTGAGAGATAGACTAGTGAGGAAGTTATGAACATGGGATGTGGAATCAAACTCCCTGACTTGAATATACCCCATGCCACGTCTTATTGGCTATGACATCTTAGTGACTGAGTTATTTAACCTTTCTGGGTCTCAGTTTTTCTATATGTAAAATAGTGTTAAGAACACCCACCTTAAAAGGTTACTGCAAGAATTAAGGAAATTATCTAAAATTATCTATCTATAACTATCTATTGGTCTATCAATCATCTACCTATCTCCCTATTATCTATCTCCTGGAGCACAGAAAGCACTCCATAAGCATTTTCTGTTATTGATATTGTTTCCTATGACTATAATACTCTTATTCCAGAGTCATATGGCTTGTTGTCTTCTTTCAAGTGTTTGCTCAGATTTCACTCTCTTGGTAAGATCTTTACTGACCCCCTCATTTAAATTTGCAACTTCCTTCAGTCTCAAAATCCCTTCCCTACTTGAATTTTCCTATATAGTATTTATGACCTTATAGTGAGCCATACAATATTCTCTTGCTACCTATTAGAACATAACCTTCATAGAGTTGAAGATTTTTGTTCTTATTATTTGTTATATAACCAAAAACTAGGTCAATAAATATTGAACACAAATATAAATTTGTAACTTCTTAATTTTTATAGTTCCAGGTACTAGTCATGTCTTTCATTGTCTAGCGTAATTTTAGTTCCTTGTTTGTTTAATATCTTTCACTCTTCCTCTCTTTTAGGCCCTACCAACACTACTGAATTTATCTTCTTCATATCTTCATATGTACTGTTCTTTTTTTTCTTTTATGAGACGTTATCTCACTCTGTCGCCAGCTGCAGTGCAGTGGTGCAATCTTGGCTCACTACAACCTCTGCCTCCCGGATTCAAGCAATTTTCTTGTCTCAACTTCTGGAGCAGCTGGGACTACAGGCATTTGCCACCATGCCCAGCTAATTTTTGTATTTTTAGTAGACATCAGTTTCACCATGTTGGCCAGGATGGTCTCTATCTCCTGACCTTGTGATCCACCCACCATGGCCTCCCAAAGTGCTGAGACCACAGGCATGTGCCACCGTGCCCAGCCTTCATACATATTGTTCTATACCATCAAGCACCTTCAGGGTGTATGATGGCTTCCCAAATAGTCATGGAAGTGGCTATTTTCCTTGAACTTATTTTCAAGAAATATCACAAGATATTTTAGTTTACTTAGCTCTTTTATTTCCTCATATACCTGACTCATTTATCTCTACTAATTTCAATCTCTGTGGTGTATTCATCACACATTTTAGAAGCTCTTTTTTTTCTGAGTGTTATTATATGATCCTAAATATATTTTTAATAAATTCCAGAACATTTCCTTCATTCCTAACTTCCATGGTTTAAACTTGATGTTTGTTCTATTTAAGTCTCTTGGCCATTTCCCTTTCCCTTATGCTCTATTCTCATTATTCATATACCATCTTTGATACATGACAAAATCATATTTACCCTTTTTTAGATATTGTTAGAAATTTGTGCTATCACTGAATGTATACTTAAAGATAAACAGTCCATGGCCCTTTAACAGGTGTCATTTTTTAAAATAATGAAGCTCGTTTAAAGATGGATATTAATCTTAAATGTAATCCAAATGCCAAGGAACATAGAAATGCTATTTAAACAATCAAAAGTTCTTAATTTGCTTTGCTACATTGTATTTAGTTATCTTGTTGGGCATTTTCCAAGGTCTTGAAGAACCATTAGTCAAAATCCTTCAATTTATTAATGAAGGATTTGAGGTTTAGAGAGGAGATGTGACACACCCACTTCACATAGAGGACTTCTGATTTCCAGTTTGAGCTCAAGGCATGTACATTTTGTTAGCAGATGGAGATCAGGAATATTTTGGAGAAAAGGGAAGTGGAATCATGAGAGAGGGATGAGGCAGGGCTGGACAGTGTTCAAGTGTAAGTAGACCTGGTGATGGAACAGATGTTTTAATAAGTTGAAGGGTCTTGAAAATGTCTGCTCTATTTGAGTAGTGGTTTTGGCCACAGATTGGGAGATATTTCTGAGATGTTCACATTGTTTCTTGTCACCAGTGAAGTATTTTGTCCATCTTTATGTTTTTTAAAATACAGGATTCCTATGAATGTCTTTCCTGTTTCCATAATCAGAATTATTCTCTCCTTCCATTGTAAGCATTTTCCTTCTTCTGTGGTATATCAGAATCTTGTATTTTATCTGATTTTGTGCCCTAAAATATCTGATGCATCTAAAAGAAATCTCTGATCAGTTTTGGTTATCACCAGCTAAATTAGCAAGAAACATCTAATTTGCATCTTGGTTTCTCTGTGTGTATAAAATGGAAATAGGGCTACATTATCTCATTTGACATTTTTGGCATAGTATTATCATTGGACAGGAAATAACAATAAAAGCAAATTGCTATCATACCTCCATAGTATCCTTGACTCATTCCTCCTGCAGGTGCAATGTGGGTGACTGCACATGACTTTCGTTTTCGGACTTTTGAGTTAGTGAACACCTTTAATCCCATCTCCTGGAAAAAATGATTATTCCATCAACTTGTAAGCTTGATTAGAATATACAAAACATACTATCTTTAGAAACTGCCTTATGTAATTCCAGTAGCCTTATATTAATTCTTTTTTTAATTCCTTTTTATACTTCAATGTTATTATCAAACCAAAGGGTCTAGGAAACAAGATCTAAATGTGTAGGCTAAGTTTATTGTCTTGAATCTGAAACTTTCTTTGTTTTCTATGATTTTCTAGATGATAACAGCTCCATTAAGTTAGACATCCCATTAATCTTTTTCACTGCTTTAATTTAAGACCGAGAACTTTAATTTAGGTTTTATGTACAATGGTCAATCATAAAGTATTTATTGAATAAATGAATTTTTTTTGGAAAGGAGAGAAGGAAAGAAAGAAAAAAAGGAGTGAAGGAGAGGAAGAAAGAGGAAGAAAAAGAGGGAGAGAGAACAGGAATGTTGCTTTATTCTAAAAATGGGTATTGAAAAACCTCTTCTGTGGCGAAACACCCGACAGTAAATCTAGAGTAGTGAAATGACTACACTTATGGATTATTAAGATTATATTCTTTATTTGCTATCGTTTACTTTGCAAAGAAAACCCCTACACATAACTAAAAAGTATCTGGATGGATAGGCAGAGGTTAGATCTAGCCCTGACTGACAAACTGAGTTTTTGCCTGACTTTAACCTTTTTATGGGCTTCATTTGTCTCCCCTGAAAAATGAAGAGGCAAGTCTAAATAATTATTAAAATTATGCATAGATACAGAGTTTTATTAACATTCAAAAAATCACAAGCCAGCATGTTAAGAAGTAGGGAGAATTTTACCTTGAGGAAGCTATAAATATCTGCTTCATCATTACGTGATAAGGGAACATAGAAGGCCCCATAACGAAAGATGAAAGAATTGGGGCAGGGTTCCTGTTCTTCCTCCTGCTGGTTCACATTGTCAGGAAAACTGGTGAGATCCTTCACAGTTAGCAGATTATATACCTGTAGCAGTGGGGAGATCAAAGGAAGAACTCTGACTTTGCTTTTGAAATACTCAGAAGGAACTATGTTCACGTAGCTGGCACCTTAGAGATAAGTTGAAGATTTTGCTTATATTTAACAGTGTTGTTTTGTTATAAAGAAATAAAATCTACTTGTAAAAATGTTTCCAAAGATTAATAAAATCTTAAGTTATGAAGGATTAATTAAAACTTCACTGTAGAATCTAGAGGTAAAAATAGACTATAAAAAATATAGAAAAAGATCTGACTTGCATCTGGGTTTGATTAATACTTAATGCCCCGAGGAATTTAGCTACACATTATTATTGCCACCTGTTAAATATCTATATCTACTCAGGCTTATTCTCAGATAGAAAATTATACAGACTGCCAATTAGAAGCAGCTGCCATCTGTGGCACTTAGGAAGTGGAATGAAAAGGGGTGAGTAAATTCAGCACCTTCAATTGAAATATTCAGGTTCTCACAATAAGACTGACTAGGCAAGCAAGTTGACCCACAGAGAACAAAGAAAAGCAGCGTGGGTGGAGGTGGAGGTAGGGGAGGGCAACAGAAGAAATCCCCACTGCCAGCCAAGGGAAGCAGTGGATGATTGTGCAACCTTGCCTGGGAAGTCACATTTCTTCCATGGATCTTTGCAACCCGTGATCAGAACATACTCTCGTGAGCCCATGCCACCAGGGGTTTGGGTCTGATACACAGAGCTATCTGGAGTCTTGGCAGAGCAGCTGCTCAGGCACACGGAGACCCAGGAGTTTTATGTACTCCAGCCCTGGGATCCGCAGAAAGACAGGAAATCTGTTTGTACAGATCCCTAAGAAGGGGGCTGAATTCAGAGAGCCAAAGAGCATCATCCTGTGGACCCCATTTCCACAGCACCTCACAAGTTAAGACCCATGGTCTTGGAATCCCAGCCAGCCAATGGCAGTGGGTTGGAGTCCACCTGAGATGGATCTGAGTTCCTGGCAGGAGAGGCGGCTGCCATCTCTGTGGTTCTGAGGACTCAGCCACTCCAGCCTGCAGGCTAGGAAAATACACATGATTTGGATGAGGAAGGGTCCCCCACAATGCAGTACAGCTGCCTTGCCAGATTGTGACCAGACTGCTTCTTTAAGTGGGACCCTGATCCACTATTTCTCACTGAGTGGGACCTTTCCATAGGGGCTTCAGGTACTCCAGCCAGGGTTCTAAAGACAGAGCTTTGATCTCTCCCTGGGATGGAGCTCCTGGAGGGCAGGGGTGTCTGCTATCTCTGCAGTTTGGTTGACTCTGCCACTCCAACCTGCTGGCTTTGGAGAATACAGGTGGTCCAGATGAGGAAGGGTCCCACCCAATGCAGTGCACCTGCTCTGTCAAAAAGCAGCCAGACTGCTTCTTTGAACAAGTCCCTGATCCCATTTTTCCTGACTGGGTGAGACCTCCCAATGAGGGTCCCCAACCACCTCCAACATTTGCATGTGGGCTGGCAACAGGTTAGAACCCCCGTGGGATGGGGCTTCCAGAGAAAGGCACAGGCTGCCATCTTTGTTGTTTCACGGCCTTTACTGGTGATACCTCCAGGCACGGGAGAAACCAAGGCAACCGGGGTCTGCAATGGACCCCCAGCAAACCACAGTAGCCCTATGATAGAGTGGCTTGACTGTTAAAAGAAAAACAAATGGAAAACAACATCAACAAAAAGGACCCCACAAAAATCTAATTCAAAGGGCAGCAACCTCAAGGATTAAAGGTAGATAAGCTCACAAAGATGAGAAGGAATTAATTCGAAAACACGGAAAACTCAAAATGCCAGAGTGCCTCATCTCTTTAAATGACCGCAGTACGTCTCCAGCAAGGGCACAGAACTGAGCTGAGGCTAATATGGTTGAATTGGCAGAAGTAAGATTCATAAAGTGGATAATAATGAACTTTGCTGAGCTAATGGAGGATGTTGTAACCCAATGAAAAGAAGCTAAGATTCAAGATAAAACATTACAGGAGCTGTTAGCCAGAATAGCCAATTTAGAAAGGAAGATAATCAACCTGATGGAGCTGAAAACCACATCACAGGAACTTCACAGTGCACTCACAAATATCAATAGAAGGACAGACCAAGAGGAGGAAAGAATCTCAGAGCTTGAAGATTATCTGAAATAAGACAGGCAGACAAGAAAGAGAAAAAAGAATGAAAAGAAATGAACAAAACTTCTGAGAAATATGAGGTTACGTAAAAAGACCAAACCTATGATTGATTGGCTTCCTTGAAAGAGACAGAGAATGGAACCAAGTTAGAAAACATACTTCAGGATATCATCCAGGAGAACTTTCCCAACCTAGCAAGACAGGTCAAACTTCAAATTCAAGAAATGCAGAGAAGGCCAGTAAGATCAACCCAAAGACAAAATCCTCAGGTCCTCTAAGGTCAAAATGAAAGAAAACATGTTAAGAGCAGCCAGAGAGAAAGGCTACGTGACCCACAAAAGGAAACATCTCATACTAACAGTGGATCTCTCAGCCAAAAACATAGAAGCCAGAAGAAATTGGGGACCAATATTGAAGAATCTTTTTTTTCAGAGACAAGTGAACATTTATTTTTGTACCTTTCCTCCTATGTATATTTCAAGCCTTTTTCACAACAAGGCCCCAGGAATCTCCAGATTCAATTATGTCCCTGGGCTTGTCCACTGCTGCAGGAGTCTTAGGGAGCCTTGTACAAATGCTAGAGTTGCTCAATTACTAACATTAAAACCTAGGATAGGAGATGCAGCAAAGTAGGACTCCTTCCTTCATGGGATGTGCTGATTTCAGACAAGGCAGTAGCCAATGTAGAAAATACCAGAATTTTTCCTTGGGACTAGACTGTGATGAGAGGTGCTTGCTATGAACATAAGCTACTGTCTTTTCTTTTGAGACAGAGTTTTGCTCGTTACCCAGGCTGGAGTGCAATGGCGCGATCTTGGCTCACCACAACCTCTGCCTCCTGGATTCAAGTGATTCTCCTGCCTCAGCCTCCCTACTAGCTGAGATTACAGGCATGGGCCACTACATCCTGCTAATTTTTGTATTTTTAGTAGAGATGGGGTTTCACCATGCTGGTCAGGTGGATCTCTAACTCCCCACCTTAGGTGGTCTGCCTTCCTCGGCCTCCCAAAGTACTGGGATTACAGGCATGAGCTGCCACACCTGGCCAGCTACTGTCTTTTCTTTGACCCTTCCTTTCCAGTTTTTGAAGATGAAGCAGGAAATAATCTCCAAAGATACTTAATACAAATTCTCCAAAACCCAAAAACGCATGCTTCCACTTCATTTATAAAAAATTATTAGTTTGGTACGTGGGTCTAGTTCAGCTGGCAGATGAGCTGATTGATGCATTCAGCCCGATAGTCAGGTGTCCCCATCTCCTTGAGGAAGCCCACTCTAGTTTTAGTACATGATGGGCCACTGAGAGGTGGAAAGGGCACAAGACCCATGAGATCTCCTGGAAATGCTTCCCAGGGAAGGCAGTTTCATGAATGAGGTCTTCCAAGAAAATGACACGAAACTTCCCCAGGTGCTCCTTCATCACTGTGTTGTCTGTCAGAGAGATGGTCTTATTCTTGACCTTGGCTTGTCCATGTTTCAAAATGAGTCCCTGGACAGACTTCAGATTTGGAAATCCCCAGGTCACATAAGGTTCCACTATTTGCAGCATTTTTAGGTTCTGGGGGGTGACTTTTACAAAGACATTACTAAAAATTTTCTTTAGGTGAAGTCTTGCAATGGTTCTCTGCACCAGTAAAGTGACACCATCAACTTTTTCTATGCATATGACAAAGGCATGTTTACCTGGCAATTTGAAGGCATGAGGCTTCACTTCTAGTCATCTGACACTCACCTTGTCATGTGTCTGTCACCAGGAATCATGTAGGAATGATTCCAGTCACTCAAACCTGGGCCCTTTTCCTTTCCTCTGCCCCTTCTTTGCCAAAAGTGCCTGCTTTGCCTGAGTGGCTTTCAGGGCTTGATAAGCCTTCTTCTTTTTCAGAAGATTTTCTGGAACCAAAGGGATTTTTTCTTAGCTCTTGCTCCGCCATCCTTCCAGTGTAGGAGCTACTGATCAATATTCAACTATCTTAAAGAAAATAATTTCTAACCCAGAATTTTATACCTGGCCAAACTAAGCTTCATAAACAAAGGAGAAATGAGATGCTTTTCAAACAAGTGAATGCTTAGAAAATTCATCACCACAAGACCTGCCTTGCAAGACTCCTGAAGAAAGCACTAAATATGGAAAAGAAAGACCATTACCAGCCACTACAAAGCAGACTGAAGTATGCAGACCAGAACACGATGAAGTAACCACATAAATAAGTCTGCCAAAAAGCATCACAATCAAATTCACACATAAATATACTAACCTTAAATGTAAATCGACTAAATGTCTCAGTTAAAAGACACAGAATGGCAAGCTGTGTCTTGATAATAGCCAAGACCCATCAGTATGCTGTCTTTAAAAGACCCATCTCATGTGCAAGGACAGATATAGGCTTGACATAAAAAGATGGAGAAAAAATGTACCAAGCAAATGGAAAATAGAAAAATGCAATGCTCGTTTCTGACAAAGCAGACTTTAAACAAAGATCAAACAAACAGTGAAAGGTATTAAATAATGGTAAAGGGTTCAATTCAGCAAGAAGAGCTAATTATTCTAAATATACATGCATCCAGTACAGAAGCACCCAGATTCATAAAGCAAGTGCTTAGATACCTACAAAGAGACTTAGACTCCTACACAATAATAGTGGGAGACTTGAACACCCCACTGACAATATTAGACAGATGATTAAGACAAAATTAACAAAGATATTTAGGACCTGAACTCAGCCGTGGGTCAAGTGGATGTGATAGATATCTACAGAACTCTCCACCCAAATTCAACAAAATATACATTCTTCTTATTGTCACATGGCATTTACTCAAAAACTGATCACATAATTGGAAGTAAAACACTCCTCAGCAAATGC